CCCTCATCCCTCCACCCGCCTGTCCACCCCTCCACTCGTCATCCACCTGCCCACCCTTCCTCCACTTGTCCATCTGACCCCCGCCCATCCGTCTACGTCACACAGTAACGGGGGCCAGTGGCGTCCAGGCTCTTGGGGACATGGTGGTGGAGACTGGGCCCTCCTCACACCCACCGTGCCCTCCCTCCGTCACCAGCGCTCCCCACACGCAGCTACAGTCAAACTACAGACCGGACCTGGGCTCTCAGACCGGACCTGGGCTCTCCCGCCTGCCCGCTGCTGCGTCGGCTTCATATCCTCTGAAGGACACACCTACCGGCCTGCAAACAGCTCCCCTCCTGGTCGCCTGGGTCCTGTCACCCCTTCCCTCACGGCCGCGGCCGTGCTCACTCTGCACGAGGGCCTTCCAGCCCCTTCCACCCCCAGGCGCCCCCTCCCGGCCCCTCCAAGGCGGGGAGCCCGTCCACCTGCCCCCGTCAGGCCTCGTGGGTGAGCGCTCAACCACTGGTGAGACGCCCAGGATTTCTCAGGGCACGTGGCTGGCACAGCCCGTGAGCCCGCCTCGCCCGTCCCCTCTCAGCCCCTCCGGCCTCCTCCAGGTCCCCCTTGGGTCCTGAGCACAAGCTCCTCCCTTGGCCCCAGATCCCCGCAAACCTGCAGCTCTGCGAGGAGCTGAAACAGCAACGCCCGGTGAGCAGGGGAGGACCGGCCACCTGGGAGGTGCTGGTGGGACAGTCTGAGCAGCTCTGGGCATCACCCCTCCTCCTCTGGGACCCAGCTCTGGGGGCCTCGGGCACACCGAGGGTCCCGGCACAGCGCTCAGACCCCGAGCGGCTCCCAGCGCTGGAGCCACTCCCCGCCCAGAAGTGCCCCTTGAACAAAAGGACTCGGCTGCGCAGGGAAGCGTTTTTCCAGTCCAGCTTCGGCGAGGCGCTGCGCCCACAGCCGCGGGGGTGGGGGGTGCGTCCAGGCGGCCCGAGCCAGGTGCCAATGAGGTGTGCAGTTGTGTGATTTCACAAACGTCGAAAGGATGGGAACTCAGAAATGGGCTTGACTAACGGCAGAGCCTCGGGACGTACCTGAGTTGCTGCCGTGGACTTACGGGCAAATGCCCCGCCCTGCGCCACGTGGCTGCCGTGGGCGCCGCCGGGACCAGCGTGGCCCGCGGGAGGGGCGGGCGCGGAGGGAGCGGCACAGACAGGGGCCTTTACAGCATCGAGACTTTATTCTGGTTAAGTGGGGAGGCTTTCCATATTGTAACATCAAAGAATTTGAATGTTAGGAAACTGCAGAACATTAAATGGCCTTTCATCTCAATTCTCAGAACAGCAGACAAAGATGGATGCTTTACAGTAGCAGTGAAATCATGAGGGCTCATTTTCAACAGAAAGTCAAGCTGGTTCGACATGGAAATTAAACTTGGAGAAGCAATAAAAAGGGAAGGAAAGGAAATCCGGCCGCGGCACCGATACAGCGCGACTGTCTGCGGAGCCCCACCCTGGCCACCTCCCGGGCCCTTCCTGCCTCACGCCCTCTCTCGGCAGCCGCCGCCGCACACCCTCCATCACGGAAACGGGCGCGAAGGTGCCGGAACCTTCCGTGGCAGGTGCGTGGCCCTAGGAGAGCTTGGAGTAGCTGGGAGGGGCCAGCCTCCGCTTCAAGTGCTTCAGGGCGTAGAGAGGAAGACAGCTGACCACCGTGATCGCTGACACTTTCCACACGAAGGTCAGAGTCGCGATGAAGGGAACATCTGTGGGAGAGAAATCCGGGAACGGGTGTCAGAGGCGCCCAGGGCCTGGTGGAGCCTCGGGGTCTGGGTTACGGCACTGCTTGCCCTGCGCACCAGGGGCAGGGGCTCCTCTAACAGGAGACAGGAAGCCCCAGCTGCGCAGGGCAGGCGCTGCACGGCCCGTGGGCCCGGTCCAGAGGCAGGACCTCCCAACACAGCCTGGGGCCGGCTCGGACCATCCGGGCTCATCTTCGTCGTTCCGAGGACAGGCGATCCTGGGCGTCGGGGCCTTGAGGCCGCTGGCAGAGCTGTCCCCGTGAGCCCACCTCCCGTGCCCCTCGGTCCTGCCACCACAGGGTGGTGTTCCCAGGGTTAACGGCTGTTCGAATCCTTGCGGGTGAAGAGCCGTGTGAGAACCCGACGGGCGGCGATCCTAGGACAGCCGTCCCTGGCGACTGTCGTCGGAAGGGGACAAAGCAGCATGGTAGGCTCACGGCCACTGAGGCCCAGAAAAGGGCAGGGAAACCCCGGGTCTGCGTGCAGGGCACACGGGGTCCCAGGCTGTGTTTAAGCACATTGTAAAAAACCTGGCAAGTGTTTTCCAGGGGTCCAATCACTAAAAATTCACCGCAAAACGTTGCGGGGACGACGCACGGTCGCCTGACGGACACGGGTGCTCATCGGCGGACGCAGGACGCCCAGCACCGTCCCCTCTTATGAGCCGCAGAACCCCGACGGAGCCCAGGGCCTCCCGCGCTGTCGCCAGGCGGGAGGAGCCCACAGCAAACGCCACGAAGAGGGGAGGCGGGGCTCTTTATCAGTCGAGCCTCTGCAGTGATGGCGTTCTGCTAAGTTTCTGCAGTCTTGAAGGACGTGGTAGCGTCAACGACCCGAGAAGGCTCCACGAGACACCCTGCCTGTGCCTGCTTCCCACGGGGCCCCGGGCGGCGCTGCTGCTGGCGTCCCAGCTGTAGCGTCTGCTTGGTGCTCTGTGCACACGCGCTGGGAGAGGGGCTGCGGGCCCAGGGCAACGCCCGAGAAGAAGCCCACAGCGCTCCCTCCAAGAGTGTGAATTCGCGTTCCCACGGGAAAGCAAACGTCTGTTCTCAGAACAAAGTAACCACGACATTGTACTGTGAAAATAACCACTTCTTATGTGCCATGGCTATTTTTTGGTGAATGTTTCTTTTAATGCAAAAACACGAATCTGTAACAGTTTTCCTATGTACGTACTCACCATTGAGTAGATACTTGGATGTGAATTCACCCAACTTCTGCTTTTATGATGGAATTCTTTTTACCTCTCTACCAACTATAATACGTTAAAGTTATGGAAGAGGCACAAAATTCATAAATTCCCACTGTTGAAACTTGCCTAAACATTCATTTTGTAATTGATGGTTCTGCTGTGAAGGATGGAGATGTTTGCACAATACGTGAGAAGTGACGTCACCATCACTTTTCACCAAAAATAACTTTAATGTCCGCGGCTCTCCTTCGCTTCACAGAAGTGTGAGGCCCTCATCTTTCATCCCAGTGAAGTCCGCTCGTCCCAAGTCGCTGGTGTTAGGAACAGGAAGTAGATGCCGACTTTTGACTTCAAGGGTCAGGGCCCTGCCTTAGATGAATTTTCCGACGGTGGCGAGTGAAGAGCTGAGCTTGACGAGGCGCGTCAGGTGAGGCGAGATCAGAGCGCCGGCCGTGGACGGGAAGCGGGAGTCTCGGAGAGGGACTGGGGGCGGCCGTGCGAACGCACCAGAGCGGCTCAACCCTCCCACAGGGCCACGTCGGGTGACCCCCTCCCCCCGCGACCCGCCCTCCCTCCCACTCCGGCCACCAGCGCTCACACCCAGCAAGCAGCCCCCCTCCTCAGGGCCCTGCTGCTAATGGGGGCAGGCGAGAAGGGGGCAGGGGCGCAGCGACCCGGGCCACGTGCCGCCTGCAGGTTCTGACACCGCTCGGGACCGAGGCAGCTGGGCCCCGTGGCTCCGAGGGAGGAGGGCGGGCGGCGCCGGGCCCCATCCTGGAAGCCCTCTTCCCTGCAGCCTCAGCGGCCTCCGTCAGGAAAGGGGACAAACAATACAGCTCTTGTGGGGAGAACTCGGCACGACTTCACGTACTGTTGCAAGGGGTTTAATCTTTCCACAGAAATAAGCTCTGTGTTGTGAAGCTGTCTGATGTGGGTTTTATTACGATCTGCAATCTAAGATAACGTATTAGAAGCAACAAAGAAAACGTTTAAAAACCAGTAAGAGACAGCTATTCAGAAAAGAAGTCTAAAGCAACTTACCAAAATATTGATTTAGAAAAGCGAGCGAGGCCACGTAGCAGCCAAGGCTGAGCAGCTCAGCGACCGCCATCAGCCAGTGCCACGTCCGGACGGTCAGGGCCACCATCAGAAGCTCCGTGAGGACGAGGGCCGTGAAGGAGATGGCCACCACGTGCACAAACTCGGACTCGAAAAGCACCAGGGCCCCGAACATGAGGATGCCGCCTGGAAAACAGCCAGGGTGGGCGGGGTGGCTTTGGACACGACGACCTTCCTACTCGGGTCGGCAGCTCCGTTACTGTGTGAGGGGCGAGAGCCGCTGACACTGACAGACACGGGCTGTGCACACCCGCACCCGGTGATCCGTGTAAACTCTGGACCGGGGACAAAATGAGATGTGGACGCTGGCAGAGGGTGGGGGGTAGAGCCGTGCCTGCACGCCGGTTAGCAACTACGCGCTGGCTGCCAGGGCCGTCTGCTAACCACTCCCACAGGCTCCCATTTGTCTGGGACACCAAGCGGAGGGGAGCTGGTGACTTCGGACTTCCTAATTCATATTTCTCGAAGTCCGGCTATCACGCCAAGAAAGCAAGCCATTGCGGGGCGTAGGCAGCGTGGTAAGTGCTGATTAAATTTTTCTGGATTGTCTTATTTAAAAACAGGTCAGTTTTTAGGTGACCTGCACCAGTAAAAACGCCAACCCCCGCTGCGTTGTGAAGAGGCCTGCGGGACCAGCTGCTGGGGTATCGATTCACAAGATAAACTGAAAGCAATATTCAACTGCTGATGAAATGTTAAGCTTTTGGAACTTAACTGGGAGGTGAAAACAATATTGCCCATAGAAAACAAAAAAGCTTCAGTGCAGGAGAAGGCGGGTCCGTCTTACCTTGGTAAATACTGATTAAAACCCAGACGAGGAAGGTCTTACAGGATAAGGATCTTCCCTAGGGTAGACAGTGGAGCAGCTTAGTTAACAGAGCAGAACACACGTTTTCAAGTAGCTGTGTGCGGGTGACTTGTCAAGACCCCAGGCCCCCCGCCCAACCCAGGTACTGATCCAGCCACCGTCCTCCTCCCGTACACCCGGGCCGCCCGCCCCGCTCAGCTTATGGTAAAGGGGTCAGCGGTCTCCTGTTTGACCTCTGGTGACCTTAAGCCAGGGCGCTCCATTCCCGGGCTTCCTAGTGACCCAGGAGTCGACGTGTATAAAACAAACATTGAAATGCACTATTCTGCATAGTAAAAACAATTTCCCTTTATTTCGTCTTTACTTCTTGGGAACAAACCTTCCTATACCTACTTCTTAGTTTCCTTAGGTGACAAAGGACGGTCTATCACACCTGAAGTCAGAATTTAGGCCCTGAGGTCCTTTCTGGAAAAGATGCCACATCAACAAGCCCAGCACAAACAAGGGTTTCTGGCACAGCAACCTTCACCTTGAAAACTCAGCCTGCGCCTGTCCGACCACGCTCCCGAAGACGCTTCTATCCGAGACGGAGGTGGGGTCACAAGTCGCCGCCCATACTGTTCCTGCCAAGGGCTGGCCGAGGCAGCGCACGTCCCCGAGGCCTGTGGATGAGGGTGTCGGGACGAAGCCCGGCAAGGCCGCGGCGCGGGACTCACAGACCCTCACGCTCCTCCCCCCGCGTCTCCCGCCCGCCGGCACAGCCCACAGACGTCGTTTCCGTTTATGGATCGAGAAGCACCGCAGCTGGAGACTTCCCCGAGGCCGCGCTGCAGCCAGGCCGGACGCAGGAAACCAAGGCTCTGCTGGGATGCGGGGCATCCCCGCCAGGAAGAGGCGGCACGTGATGCTAAACGGCACGAGGGAAGAACAAACCGTACATAGGACGGGGGGATGCGCCAGCACAAGGACACCCAGAGGCTGAATCCCGTCCACGCGGCGTCCACGGACACCTTTGAAAGAGACGGTTGCAGCAGCTTGGTCCCGAGGGGCCACCTGAGAACGTCCTGGCTGAGCCCGAGGCCTCACTGCGTGTGAGTGGACAGCAACCTTCAAACATGTCATCATTTGTTAAAAGGCATTTTTTTTTTTTTTTTTTTTTTTTTTTTTTTTGGGTCG